TTTTTTTTTTTTTTTTTTGTAAAATAAAAAATGCTCTTGCAAACGTAAATTTTAATAAAATCATACCGGTAAGCTAAACCAGAAACCAAAGTTATACTGAATAGTAAAAACATTAGCAATATAATGGCTGTTATAAGGCCGTGATACTCGGAGGGTGTCATGCATACGGTCTCTATGGGAGCAACTAGTTTGCGTGGATATGTTTCCTTCTCGATCTCTTCACGGGTTTCAAATACCTTGATCAAAGGAAAGAAATGAAGTAGTTACTCATAACATAAAAAAATGACTCAGTATTTGTTAAAATTTTCATTCGATATTTTTTAAATACTTTCGACAACTTACCTCAATCATTTCCCGCACTTGCTCGGGTTCTTCAAGCTCCTGATTGGACTTGTCATCGCTTGTGGCAGCTGTAAGAGCCGTATGGTTGTTTTTTAATATTATGTACTCAGTGTTTTTTTTTTTAGAAAACTAACGACTCACTTTTGTTAAAATCTCCCAAAGTGGCTGTCACCTTCGTGCTATTCATCTCGGACATGTCGTCCATCAAACGTTCAGCTACCGGTTCAGTATTCGATTCAATTTCCACAACATCTGTTTCATTCAACGAACGCCTGCGACGACCGAACGAGGGCTCCTGCCGTCCAGCTGCGCCTGGACAATAAGCCGGTTGACAGCCATCGCGGCAAGTGCGAACTGTAGCCTCAAATACGAGGAAATTAGATTCGGGTATTTTGAAGGCGTTGAAACGCGCCTCCAACGTATCACCATCGCGCAATTTATCCAGTTCGGGGAAGACATACGGATCCACGGGGCAACTAAATTGACGCGTAAGTAAGTTTTAAGAAACATGGTATTTTTACAGCAACAATTGATGCACATACCCGAAGCGATCGATAAGCTGTATACTCCTGCCCGAGTATGGATCACGCGCCACCACATTGGTGGCAAATATATCAGTTACATGATTGTAGCCATCTTGTGCCTCCAAACGGAAAGTTAGTGGATCACCGACTGCTATTGTGGTGGTCGGACGTCCTTGATACAGTATCATGAGACGAACTTTGGAGCTGAGCGTATTCTCTGCAGGTAAGTATTCGATTGGTATGGGACTGCCGGATCTGTGGGAATCAGTGAGACTTCATACAGAAACACATTGTGGCAATGGGTCAACAAAATGTTTGGTGGCGATTACATGAAAAAATGCTGAGTTTTGTAACAAGTGAGCACAGCGATTTATTTATGCCTCTCCACCGCTCATTTTGTTGCATTTAGAGTACAACGATTTACTGGGATTAGTGGTAGCTAAATAAAATTAATATAAGCTTATCTATAGCATAAAGACTATCAGCAGTACAAGCGTATAGTTGATAGACAGCTAGAAGAAGTCATGAAATAATTAACAGACTATTTTGGCGAAACAATAATTTTTTGTAAAGACTTCTCCACCCCGGCGTGAACTATTAACTAGCATACAAATACATATATAAAACCATTTCCAATCTATTGTTTGCTCTTGGTTTCAAAGCTAGGTCAGCCCGAATTTAACCGAACATTACTTGAAGTCTAGGCGGCCAGTACTTTGGTTACCTGCCAATCCTTACCTAATTTCAGTCAGTTAAGAACAAATGCATATTTATTTATGTTCAACCATACAAAGGCGAGTCCCTCATCTGTGATGTTGAAACTCTAAATATAAAGTATTTATGGTTAAAAAATTTACAGTTTTCCACTAGTAAAAGATATGTGAATAGCACGAAAGTTTTCTTAAAATTTTAGAAATGCATTGCTGCGCTTTTTTTATTGTGAATAAGTAAAGTGAAAACAAGAAGAAGAAAAATTACAACTTAGCAAGAAATGTAAAGTAAATTCTTTGCAAGAGGTGGGGGAGTCTTCACATGCCGACCACTGATTGGAGGTATTGGGATCGAGACTGGACAGTTAGCTGTTGAGACGGCTACAATATCCAAACCGTAACTGCGCTAGTCGTCAGTGCCCCCGCGGTGGGTATGATTCACAGCCTACCTTTTTGAATGCTTGGCAGGCAATAAGTCAATTGTTTAAATAAGGATGCGAAGGTATGTATGAAGGAGTCGATACGAATAGAACTACTAATGAGTATTTATGAAAAACAGAAGGATTCCATAAGAACGATGTGAGATAATATGAAGAATCTATCGATTCGTCAACTACAGTCGGACAACGAAAGTATCGGCGCAACCGAACACAATGAATGTACCAGTGCAGCAGCTTCGGAGTCCAATGAGGCAATTTTATTTCGATACTACCAGTAGGTGATTAAAAGTGCTGCCTCGGAGGCATCAACTGTAGTATGTATATCGGAAGAACAAGTAGCACACTCAGCAATTAAACCCATTGGGAGTTGAAGTCAATAATTCCTCTTCATTGAAGACCAGCACCAATCGGTGTATTAAAGCCGAGAATATTTGACGAAAAACTCTCAACCTTGCGTGTCCAAAACGGAAATCTTCTAATCGGGCTGCTGGTGGCGCCCATGAACTGAAAAATGTGGCGAACTGCCAGCAAGTAATCGAGAATTGAATGAAATTTTCAAACAAAAAAATGTTGCAAGTGTTCGATTTTCCTCCAGGAACTGGAATTACTAAGCTTCTCGTCTCAAGAGAAAAAGTTATTACGAAGCTTATAGTCTTCAATATGTATGCATATACGTATGTTTGCCATATGTAATTTAACAGCTGATTATTTAGGCTTCAGTCTGAAGAATTTCTAAAATTATGCACTTTGAGATTTGGAAATTTTACAAGTTTAAGTTCGAGGGCTGAATTCTACATGGCATGGTGCATGACGATTGAAATGGATCCATGGGACACAGCATGATCAAAATTTGGGCCAAACCTCTTTAAATTTGATATTGCGAAACGATTCTGAACGAAAAATTACACTAGAGATGGCACGATACCGTATTAAATTTTACAAGGGATGACGAACAAAATCGTTCCACAATACTTTATCCTCGTATCCAGTCGGAAACACCAACAACCAAAATAAGACTCTTTGAATTGGATGTGCCATCGAAATAATTTCTGTATGAAAAATGTCTTTAAGCAGGGATTTATAACACTTAATCTTTTTTCCCCTCTAATAAATAAAATGGCGAATCAAGTCCCGAGTTAATTGAAGGGTCTACTTCTGATAAGTTATTTCAGAATAAACCACAGCAAAATTATAATTACAAACAATTTCTAGCTAATGTATTTATTATTTTGGACTTAGAAGGGTTTAGTAATTAAAAATGTTCACTGGGGTTAGGATTTGAGATTAAATATACCCTTCGGATAAATATTTAAGACTAAATAGCCAACTCGATTTCAACAGTTCGCGCCAGAATAGTCTCTTCTATAAATAAACAGTGAAATATTTTCGCATCTAATTTTATGAACTACATGATTATCAGCTCAGCGAGAGCTTCAAGAATACGCTAAGCAACGCTACTCACTACCACAACGTTTCACATGCGCCTACAAGTATGCAACGCACTTTCAAGCCTTACTTAAAGCAGCGCATTTCGATTCATTTGTCTTACCCTGCGCCAATATAACCGGAAGTGACAACCGCTTCACCGGGCCCCCGGAAAACACATGTTAAATTATAGCGTTTATCGCGACTGGTTTGCACATTATCGGAGAATTGCACAACCACAATGTTGGTCAGCGTGTCGCCGTACTGTGTAAAGAGAAAAAAGCATTGGTTATGATCCGATAAAGCAAGTACATACATGCTTATATAGAACGAGAAATGCGAATAAAGAAACGAGTAATAAAATTTAAATAGAAAAGCCTACTCTTTGTGTGCCGCAATCGGGATAGCCTTGTGGGCCACTGATGCGCAACACGTTCACGGTGCCACCATTGCCACGGAAGAAACATCTATAAGCAAATTATATATTATTATTGGATTGAAGTGCAAATATCTCAGACGATAATCTTATTTTCGCGCGCGCACACACCTGTCATAGTAGCCATAGGTGTAGATGCGTCCAAGAAAACCTTCCGGTGTGCGTATAGTGAATTCCATGCCCTCCTCGTTGCAGGTTTGTGTTACTGTAAATCAAAACAATGCACAAATATATTAACTTAAAGTAATTTCCCTGCTCCCTCCACTCACCATCCATACACTCGCCATCGCTGCGCCCCAAACTACGTTCGTAGTAGTCATAGTTGGCTGCATCAAAGTAATTGGGATCGTGTACGTCCAGTTCGCGCGAATCGCGATCGCTCAGCTCACAATTGGGCAAATCGCGTTGATCGTAATTTGTAGCCGCCGCATCTCTGCGCAGGTGAAAAATACCGGTTATTCGCTCTGATAGTCTCGTAATTAAGCAAATCATCTTGGACACTTACCTGTAATTGAAGCTGCGACAAACGAATTCCCGCGACTCGATGCATTCTCGCTCGCATTGTATCAGCGAGGGCACGACCAGCGCGCGTCGCACATAGTGGCGTCGCATTTTGTGTCTGGCCGCAATTTGCTTAAAATTATCTGTCTCCTCACAGCGCGTCAATTGCGGACGCGGTGGACCGCCGGCAGCAACACCTGGGCCGACGACGGCGCCGCCATGTCCACCAGCGCCGTAGGGGTGTAGTGGCGGCGGTAGCGGACGATTGTCATCGAGTGGCGGTGGTGCGCCTAAGCCATGGCCATAGGGGCGATTGAAGGGCGTCTCGTAGTGTGGATAGCCGCCGCCTAGTGGTCGTCTACCTATTGGTCCTTCATATTCGCGATCATAGCCGCCATAGCGATCACCATAGCGCTCCTCATAGTCCATATCGTAGTAGTGTGGCGGCGGTGGTGGGCGTTCGTAACCTGCACGATAGGTTGAAACAATTTATATAATACAAATCTGATATCTCCAACATCAGGGGTTAGGCACACGAAACGCTTGCTAGTCGATTAGTGTGTGCATTTATTTTAGGTGCGCTTACCTGGTCTAACGCCGCTACTACTGCCGCTGCTGCCAAATCGATTGCCATATTTGTATATATCGATTGGAAAGCGCTCAGTACCTACCGGAAAGCGGTTTGGAGATGAAGGATATTTACTTATCGTGGTAGGCGGCACTAACGGCGCTGGTGGATATCTCTTCGCCGAGTCAGGTTCTGGTCTTCGGGCACTGTGTATTATATCATCTGGTGGATAACGTCCGTCTGGTCCGTAACGCGGCGGTGGTCCACCACGTCCGCCAGTTAGCAGCGGATATCGCGAATCATAAGATGAGGGACGAAAACGTTTGTCAAGAAAGAAACTATCGGGTGCATCGCGGCCTGTGTAGCCGCCTATGGGATCCCTCGCTGGCGAATATCGCGAGGGATAACGACTGGCATAGCGATCCTCTGGATAGCGGCCCGTAGTGTCATATGGACGATAAGACAAATCATGGTCTGGTGGGTAAGGTCGCGTATGTGGCACGTCACCACCTAAACCATTTTCCGTGACTGGTGGTATAGGATAACGATCCAAAGGCCGGTAAGGATAGCGATCACGTGGTGGATAGTCACCAACTGGATAACGATCGCGATCGCGGTCACGTTCACCATAACGACCAGGTGGATAACGATCGTCGATGCTGGGATAACGGTCGCGTACACGATCACCTATCGGATACCGTTCACGATCACCAATTGGGTAACGATCTCTGTCGCCAGCGTAACGATCGCGATCACCGCCTGGATAACGGTCGCGATCACGATCGCCAAGTGGATAACGATCACGGTCACGATCGAGGGGATAGCGGTCACTAGGGTGCCGATCACGATCACGATCACGATCGCGATCTAATGGGTAGCGGTCGCCAGGATACAAATCCACGCTGCCACCAGGATAGCGATCTCTGTCGCCAGGATAGCGTTCATTGTCGATGCCGGGCAGACGACCCAGTGGATAGCGTTCATCGTAAGGGTCACGCCCATCTACTGGTGGTGGATAACGGCTATCTCCAGCATAACGGTCCGCGCTGCCGCCGCCGCCGCCGCCTCCTGGGTAGCGATCTGGGGAAGTAAGGTTAATAAAGCGTTCGTTGTTAGTTTGTTAGGGGGTAAGTAAGTAACTAAGCGTGAAAGAAGTTACATACACGTTAGAAAGAATTTTAAATAAATGTAAATTTGCAAGTTTTTAGTAATCAACATGTGATAGTAGTATTTTAGCACTCATCATAGTATTTATGGATTGACAATAAAGCTACATACTTATTATAGATTTACCATAATCGTCTGTTATCGGGTAGCGATCGTAAGGACGCCCGTAGTCATCAACACCAGCGCCACCTCCTCCCGGTCCACCTCCCGCGCCACCTCCAGCACCAGGATATCTACCACCTGAACTACCGCCCCCACCCGCGCCATATCGATCGTCGTCTTTGTTGGGTGGACGCCAATTAGTGCTTCCATGCTCACCAGGTCGGTGGCTGCCGCCATTACCAGTGTTGCCATGTCCATCTGCGTCACCACCGCCTACTACGTTCACTTCCA